TGAAGATCTCAAGCTCCTAGAAGTTGAGAATGGTGGTTACCAGCAACTGATTAAGAACATGCTTAAACAGGGAAGGGTATGAAGTTTCAGTTAAATTAGTTGACTAAGTTCTACTGATCTGTCACACAGCATGGTAATTATAGTAATGTGTTGAGTATTTCAGAACGGTCAAAAGAAATTATTTTAAATGTTCTCACCCAAAGAGATGATAAATATTTCAGATGCTGGACAGGCTAATTAGCCAAATTTTATTAGTCCAAAGCGTATACCATATATTAAAACATCACCTTTTACTTCTCAATACAGATAATTATTGTTTGTCAGCAAAATACTTTTAAATATGAATACAAGTGATACAAAAGAAAAGTGAAATACACATAGTAGAAAAACAAATACATGTAAAAGAGTAAAATAGTTGAGAGTGATGACAAAAGGGAAAGTAGTAAAGCCCAAGATATGATGAACACAGTAATGCACAATAAAATTTTCTGCTGCCTCTCAAGATAGGCTCACATTTGACTGGAAACTTGTAGCTATCAAATGAAAGGGACACGGCAACTCCAAAATTGGTGGTAACCAAAATATATGATGAAACCACATGTTCAGAAACAGCCAAATTCTGAGAGACATGTGAGAAATTCCAGAGCAAAACTCCCTACCAACAGCCCCTCTCATATACTCCTCAGCTACCCATTGGATGGCACCTCTAGCCAGCTTCCTTTTTACAAATAAAATCCTATCCAAAAGAGCCTAGTCGCATTAACTTGTCCCACTGCCTGAGTTGGCCTTGCATTCCAGCCAAGACATGTATTCTAGTATTTCATAAGAGAGAGGACTGTCTGGCTATGCATATAGCTTTAGTCTACTAGTTTGGAGAAAGATAGTTCCAAATCCTTCTAGCTCTGTGGACACCAAATAATATTCAAGTGTCATCAAGAATGTCTTTTCTATCTGAGGAAAAGAAGACTTTTAAAAATGAGACTGCTTTCTTTCCTATTAAGATATCTTCATTCCTTTTTTTTTTTTTTGCCAGTCCTGGGGCTTGAACTCAGGGCCTGGCCATTGTCCCTGAGCTTCTTTTGCTCAAGGCTAGCACTCTACCACTGGAGTCACAGTACCACTTCCAGTTTTTTCTGTATATGTGGTATTGAGGAATTGAACCCAGGGCTTCATGCATGCTAGGCAAACACTCTACCACTAAGCCACATTCCCAGCCCCTGGATGTCTTCATTTCTAAAACATCCCTCCATCATTCCTCAATATTCACAGTGTAGAAGACCATTTCTAGGACCCTCAGATGTTGAAGTCCATTACATAAAATGATATACTATTTACATCTGTACACTGATATTCTCCTTGGTATATTGAATCATTTCTAAATTACTTACGACTGGTATAATGTAAATGCCACACAAATAGAGCTTCTATATTGTTCAGGAAATAATGACAAGGAAAAAAAGGTGTGTGCATGTTCAGTAAAAGTGTGGTCTTTGCTATGAACGTTTTATTTGATTTTTAAAAATACATTCTTAACTGGTACATAATTATACATATTTATAAGGCACAATGTGACATTTCAATACATGTATACAATATGTAATGATCACATTGCAGTAAAGGTTATTATCACCTCAGACATTTATCATTCTTTGTGTTGGAAACATTCAAAATCCTCTCTCTCTGTGGCTATTTTGAAATACTCAGTTAATTTCTTTTGGTCGGTCATGGGGCTCAAACTCCGGGCATGGGTACTGTTCCTGAGCTCTCCAGCCGCTCTTCACCTTGAGCCTCAGAGCCACTTCTGGTTTTCTGGTGGTTTATTGGAGTTAAGTATCTCACGGACTTTTGTGCCCAAGCTGGCTTTGAACCGCAATCCCCAGATCTTAGCCTCCTGAGTAACTAAGATGACAGGAGTGAACCACTGGCGCCCAGCTCAGTTAATTTTCTATCAACCATAGTCATCCTACCATACTGTAGAACATTAGAAGTTATTCCTCATATCCAGCTGCACCTCTGGGCCCATTAATCATCCTTCCCCCCTCCTCCCTCCCCCACCCCTCCAGGCTGTCATGACCACTGTTCTATTCTTTATTTGGATAACTTTTTTACTCCTTCATAAGTGCCCTATTTGTTTCACATAATGTGATATCCTCCAGTTCCACCCATGTTGCTGCAAAAGACAAAACCTCATTTCTATTTTTTTTCTACCCTACAGCTTTACCCTAGGGTCTTGTATATGTGAGCATGTGCACCACCACCAAGTCACACCACTAGTCCTTCAACCCTTTTATGACTGAGTAGTATTCTACTGTTATATATGCCGCCTTTTGTTCATCCATTCACAAAGGGGTGATTACTATCTTGGTTATTGTGAACAGTGTTGCAATAAACATGGCAGTGCAGATGTCTCCTCAGCATACTGATTTCAGTTCTTTATGACTGTATGCTCAGAAGTGGGATGACTAGATCATATGGTGGTTCTATTTTTAATTTTTTGAGGAACCTCCACACTGTATTCCATGGTAGTTGTTCTAATTTACATTCCCAGCAACAGTGTGTAAGAGTTCCCTTTTCTCTTTGTCCTTATCAGCATTTGTTAATTTTTGTCTTTTTTTTTGTCAGTCATGGGGCTTGAACTCAGAGCCTGGGCACTGTCCCTGAACTTTTTTGGTCAAGGTTAGCACTCTACCATGCTGAGCCACTGCCACTTCTGGTTTTTCTGGTGGTTAAATTGGAGGTAAGAGTCTCATGGACTTTCCTGCCTGGGCTGGCTTTGAACTGCAATCCTCAGATATTAGCCTCCTGAGTAGCTGGGATTACAGGTGTGAGCCACTAGCACTTGGCTCAATTTTTGTCTTTTTTATAATAGCCATTTCAAGATGTAAGATGTTATCTTAATGTGCTTCTGATTTACATTTCTGTGCTTGGTGACATTGAATATTCTCTCCTTTAACTATTTGTATATCCTCTTTTGAGAAATATCTTTTCTTGTCATTTACCCTTTTAAAAATTGCAGTATTTGTGTTCATTCTTCTAAAGTTATACGATGTGAGGTTTGTTGAATCTATAGATACAGAACCCACAGATACAGAGAATTCCTTTAAATTAAGGGGATGCTGGAGCACTGACAATGAAATGTGTTCAAATCAATTTTCTCCATCTAACCACTGTAGGAGGCTCAGGATTTGACTGAGGCAGTGGCTCCAAGGGGCCTGAGCTTTCATCTCCAGTTGATTGGTCATGGATCCAAACTCTTAGGAAGTTGGTCAAGGCAGAAAATAATGACCCGTCTGTGATGCTGAGGCTATTTCCCCTTCCAAGTGCAGTAGATCATATTCTGCCTGAACTTCTCTTTCAACCTATCTCTGAAAGTCTCATCAAGACCTAACACACAGACTCCAGGGCTGTCTTCAGGCTGCGTTACTCTTAGTAGAAATCAAGCAGAAGAGAAAGCATTGTACCTGGGTGCCTCACCTTCATTTGTTATGTGGTTGAGGAAGCTTCAGACTGAGTCAGGGATATTTATTTGGAGACTTAGGAGACTCATCTCCCTCCATGAGGCTTTATCATTACAAGGATACAATTCCACCACCCTTCTTTTGGAGAGACAAGCACAGGAGTTTCCCTGTCAACTTGGTTCAGAACCTGCCATACTCCCCCCAACCCTTAGGGCTTATGGGGCTCCAGTTGTAAACCTTCCCTCCATCCCTATTATCCCTAGGACACATCCAACTCCATCATGCCTGCCCAGCATAGTCTGACCCTCGCTAGCCTTGTTAGTGCATCCCTTCTCACTTCTCTCTGGGGAATTTGGACTTGAGCCCTGGGACCCCTGGCCACATGGGCACCCACATCCACGTTTGAGTCCTTGCTCACCTATGTCTTCTCTTTTCTATCCTCCGAAGGCTGGCTATAATGCACCTTATTCTGCATCCTCTCCACCCCTAGCCATGCAATCCCTACATTGGTGTATGCTGTTACCTTGCATGGACTATGCTTTGTGAGCCTCTGGTTGCCTGTGTGTCTCACTCATCTAAACTAGGAGCCTTTTCAGAGTAGGTGCCCCTGGCTTGTCCCTCTCTGTACCCCCAGCACCACGGGCATGTGATAGGTAAGTGCTTGTGGAGTAAATCTGTTACTCATGTGCTTCAACTTCAGGCCATGATGCCCTTCAGTAGCCATGAGATGGACTATTTCTGTTGCTTTGCTGGGAACAACTGCTGGGCTTCTCCCTCTGCTTTTCATTTTATGAGCAAGGAGCAAACCTTTGGATAATGTCAGTCGTGGTGCAGCTCCCTAGTAGGGCCAAAGAGCTGTCTGTTTGGAGGAATTTGGAGGAACCTTGTGCTAGTAGGTGAAGAGGCTTTGTTTCTCTCATCTTGGAGGCCCCCTCCCATACCAAATGAGTATTTCTTCAGCCCAGATATAGAGGGAAGTAACTGGTGTTACTGATGGGTGCAGGGGCACCCACCCAGGAGCTATCTAATTTTACAGACCTGTGCCTCAGCGCCAGCTTTTGAACTGCCAAATCTCAACTTGACACCTTGTGCCTGTCAACAGCCTGGCCGAAGCCTCAGCGCCAGGCCAGAGAACCTTTTTCTCAAGGTTAAAAGTAGCTGACCTTTGACAAGCAACATTGGCTAAATTCTGTGTTCCTTAAAAGGGCAGCTCCCAGTTTGCCAGTGCTTATTGGCCATCCTCTGTACCCAGTAGAAGTTTGTTGCTAGAGGTACAGTGGTGAACAGTCTTTATTAAAATAGCCATCTTTGAAAATATATGCAGAAGAGGGGGGGTATCCAGTCTGCTGGCCAGTTTGTTCCATGGCCCATGAGGCTGGACAGCTCATTGGCTTCCACGGGCTCCCAGTGGCTCTTTCACAGATAACAGTGTCACTTGCCTCATGCATAACATTCTTCTCAATACGTGTGCCACAACAAAGCTGACAGAATGACAAGAACACACAGTATTTACTAAATTCTGGACTTGTGTTTTTAATGTAGGGGTGACGGTCCCAAGATTGACTTGGTGGGAAGTTCTCTATCTGGAATTCTGGACAAGGATCTCTCTGACCGCGGCAATGACATTGGTGAGTAAGGACATTGTTTTGTTTCTCTTTGCAGAGTTAAGAAAGCATTTCATAGTGTAGTTTGTCCCCTTTGAGGTGTGCTGAGAACTAATGTGACCATTGAAATGCCAGGCTGCCAGCTCTTACTTGGCATTAGGTGTCAAGTTTTATCCAGAAAGAAATTCATGGTGGTTTCCACAGGAAATCAGAATGCCTAGAATTTTACTCCCTGGCTTTCGCAAAATTGTTTGCAAGGTCTAATGAAAGAAAATGATGAGTAAACCTTTTTTTTGGCAAAAGTAGGCCTGAGTACTTATGTTTAGATTTTCTATTTGGCCTAAAAAGGTCAACGAGTGCAAATGTGTAATGTCAGGGTTCATTGTAGATGCAGCTCTAAGTGTCTTCACTTTGACTTGAAAATGAGCTTTGGTATGGTAATTGCCACTTAGTACAACCACCATGAGTGAATTTTCCCAAGGTCAAGACCACGATGAGATAAACAGGAAATGAGTAAAATCACTCTGGGTAAGCAAGTCAATGGTAGAAATATATCTGGATGGAGTTGAGGCTACTAGAAGTCTGACCTGGGCGATAGCCATTTTAGGAAGTCTAGATTCAGAGTCAGATTTTAAACTTTGAATCCCTTATTTGTACTTACTATGGTCCTAAGTTAGTACTCTCTCTTAGACTATTATAGAGGGCTTCATTTTTAATTTTTTTAACTTCAGTTTTTTTTGTTTTTGTTTTTGTTTTTTGCCAGTCCTAGGGCTTGAACTCTGGGCCTGGGCACTATCCCTGAGCTTCTTTTCTTCAGAGTTAGCACTCTACCACTTGAGCCAGAGCACCACTTCCAGCTTTTTCTGAGTAGTTTAATGGAGATCCAAGTCTCATGGACTTTCCTGCCTGGGCTGGTTTCAAACAGTGATCCTTAGATCTCAGCTTCCTAAGTGGCTAGGATTACAAATGTGAGCCACTGGCACTAGGCTCAGTTAAACCTTTTATTGTGAAGAAGTCATTGTAGATTCTCAGTTTTAAAAAACTACACACAGGTCTGCACATCCTTTATCCAGCCCCTGCCTCTATCCCATGGTATGTCTTACAGAACTACAGTGTGGCATTTGGCAACAAAAAAGTCTATTTAGTCTTACTCAGATTTGCTGTTTTTGCAATATCTGTGTAGACATTGAGTATTCTGCAATTTTGTCATATGTGCAGGTTTGTGTATCTGCTGCCGCAGTCAAAGTACAAAGTATCTCCATCCCTTGTGGTGTTTATTATAATCACACCTCCTGCCTCCCATCCCCACCCCTCACCCCAACCTCTGGCAATCACTATCTGGATTGATTTGACACGGAAGATAGATTTCCAGCTTCATCTGTGTTGGCCACTTAATTTAGAAACAAATGGCCAGCAGTTGGCTGGCCTTATAAAAAGCACTGAAGTGTCTGACATGGGCATTCTTCTTGATTGGTGCTACTTCCCAGTTTAGGTACTGTTTTCTTCTAAATCTGCTAATAGATTTGCATCCTTGCAAAGTGATGACCCATAGTCTCTGGCCTGACCTTGGGAAGGCTTGTGGGTACAATGTGTGGTTGTGACTGTAAATACCAAAAGTACTTGTGCAGTTTCCAGAACCTGGTTTATATCCCCAGCCAGCCTTTAGGAAGCAGGACCTGACAGCTTAGGCTGACGCAATACCAGCAAAACAACTCTGGCTTGCTGTAGCTCTTGATCTGGTTAAAGGGCAAGGAAGAGCAGAACAGTGAGTGGCTGTGAATGGGAGGCAATCATGAGAACAAGCCTGATTAAGTTCCAATATTCCACTGTGCTTCACTATCTGGGCTCCATTTTAAGCTAGTGTGAATAACGGGTGGAAGTATTGGTAAAGGTCTTGTGGGGCCTCACACAGGAAGGGGGGCATTCTCCCACCTGCAGATATACAGTAGAATATGTCTTGCCTTTTAAGAGTATTGTCCTTTGACCCTTGATTTCTTTGGGTGTGGAGATATGTCAGATGGTTGTTGCCAAAACGTGAATAGTATATTTTTCAGTCGGACCAGATAATTTGGAAACATTGGGGTATAACTGAGTAGAAGAGAAAATAGAAAAGCTTTTCATACTTTGGAAACTAAGCACCAGTTGTATGTATTTGAGAAAGATGATGCTTAGAGATTTGGTTCTCTCATTTTGCCAAGCAAGCATTAATCCCAGAAAACTGTAATCTCTTGAGTTGGCAACTCTGTGTGTGTGTGTGTGTGTGTGTGTGTGTGTGTGTGTGTGTGTGTGTGTCTGTGCGCGCACACACACGCATAATTTATATGGCAAGAAAGGATGGTTGGGAGCTATCAACCAGTAAATGTTTAAGTGCCTAGTACCCAAATGCAAAGCTGTCTGGATGCTAAGGCCTTCATATACAGGCCTATTTCCATGGGATTAGATCCGTTGGGGCCACTGAGACGACAAAAAGTAAGGTAATGCTGAAGGTCTGTATAAGTAGTACGTGGATAATAGAAAGCAATGTTGTTCAGAAGAAAGAATGTTCCCTGGAGCTAGGGTTCCGGGACATGCTCCTAGAAAGAGGACTGCTTATCTGTACCTGGAAGGTAGATTAGGTTGAGTGGTGTGGTTTGGGGCTGGAGAGGTGGGAGGGCAGTGATCACGTGGTGAGTACTGGTATCTGTACATAAAAGTCCAGCTTGGGTACAGTAGAAGATTTGTGCGGAGGACGCGGATGTTCTGGAAATGTAAGTAGGGACCAGACTGAATTTGAAAGGGGGTGGTGGGATTTGTAATTTCTCCTATAGGCAGTGGGAGCCATTGATGGTTGACATCAGAGTGACATGATCAGGGCATCATTTTTTTTTTTAATTTAATTTTATTTTATTTGAGAAGATACTGTACAGAGGGGTTACAATTACATGGGCAGGATAATGCATACATTTCTTACCAAGCATTGCAGCCTCCTCCTTTGTTTACCCTTCACCTCCCTTCCCAGCCTCCCCCCTCCCCCCCACCCAATCATACCCCCCCTCCCCCCACACACCGACATTGTAAAGCTGGTTTTGACATGACATTTTGTATTTCTCATTGTTGCAACAGGTCCACCTGAATCCTTAAACGAATTGTTTGTCCCCATCTCCTCCACATGTTATACTGACATCAAATATAGTGAAAGCGGGGGTTACACTGTGGGGGAGGGACATACAAAGCAACAAAGAAATAAGCTTATAAATGCGTTAGAAACACATGCATGAAAGAAACAAAAACATTAAAATACATATTTAAGGGTTCGTTTTCCTAACATCACATTATCTGACCTTTTCCGCTTGACTCATACCTATACTAGATATTGCAAATAAGGGAAACCATGGGACCTATGTTTCTTTGGGCCTGGCTTACTTCACTTAATATAATTTTTTCCAAGCCTTTCCATTTCCTAACAAATGGGGAAATGTCATTCTTTCTGATGGAGGCATAGAATTCCATTGTGTATATATACCACATTTTCTTGATCCATTCATCTACTGAGAGGCATCTGGGTTGGTTCCATATCTTAGCTATGGTAAATAATGCTGCAATAAACATAGTTGTGCTGGTAGCTTTAGTGTGGTCTTTTTTGTAAACATTAGGGTAAATGTCAGGGCATCATTTTAAAGATAATAAATGATGAAGAGCTTTGGAGGATCAATCCAATGAAGGAAAGCTAGGTGTCAAGGAGTCAGGTTATTTGATAGCTGGGCTAAGAGGTAAAGAGAGGCAGAAAGCATCTGCTTACAAAAGGATTTGGAAAGAAGGGATGAAGCAATCTAGAATGATTCCTAGATTGGGTGTGGGAACAGGGAAGAAGAGAGAGTGATATGGCAGTAGTGAGGTTTGTGGAATCAAGTGACTAGGGTAAAAATAACATGGGTGGAAATAAGTATGGCAGAAGGAGGAGCTGGTTTGGGGGAAAATGTTGACTCAGATTTGGCTAGATATTCCATGTTAGTACTAAATGAAGTCTGAAAGTGGAAGTCTAAGGCTTTATAGACTGGTAGGGGTTTGAGATAGAGATTGAGAGCTGTCTGGAAGCAGTGGTGGAAAAATGAGCCCAGGAGTGATGTTGGCAGATACAGGTTTGAGTGCTGAATCTGCTGCTTCCAGTCCTTGGCCTTCCATAATTTCCATAAACTCTGAGCTATTTCCTGAATTGTAAATGCCAACATTTTCATCAACTTCTTTACCTTGATAACCAGAATTGTGTCAGATCACATGTTGGGTTGTTTAAAGAAACAAACACTTTGCCCAGCACTGGTGGCTCATGCCTGTAATCCTACTCAGGAGGCTACTCAGGAGGCTGAGATCTGAGGATAGTACCTAAAAGCCAGGAAAGTGTGTAAGACTCTTATCTCCACGTAACCACCAAAAAGCCTAGAGTGGATCTGTGGCTCAAGTGGTAGAGGACAGCCTTGAGCAAAAAAATGCTAAGGAGCAGTGCCCAGACCCTGAGTGCAAGCCCTAGTACTGGCATACACACAGAAAAGAAGATACAAATGCTTTTTATTAATATGGTTGTCTGCTTAGAAGTATCTGTTGGGTCAGAGAGGTAAAGGGAAAAGCGGTATCTTTAACCTCACAGGGGCCAAAGGAGGAGCAGATTTTTTTAAGCAGGATTTCTTTAAAAACCCAAACAGAAATGTTCTTTGTAGGTGGGTTGGTCAAGGAGAACTAGATATTTCAGAGGGGTGGCTCTCTTTAGGGCTGTTTTTGTAGCATTTGTTCATTGCTCTGAATCAAGGAGGAACTTATTTGTTTGAGAACGTTTTGCTAGTGGTTCAGACAATTGAAGTTGTCCAAATGTGGGTTGCAGTGAATAGCATAATACAGCCCTGAAGCCATTAGAAACCATCATTGTTAGCTATAAATAAATTTTTGTTTCCTCCTAATAAAGCTGTAATTTAAAATTATTATAATATTAAATTAGAGAACATGGCTCTTTCAGATCTTGTGTGGGCAGCTCCCAGCCTCTGTCAGCCAGCAAT